TTCATCAGACAAAACAAAAGCATTTCATTTTCACATGCGTGTAAGCCAAGGTGGTGAGAAAGGCAAGATTGCATATTAAAAAAAAGTATATATATATATATATACACATAAAGCAATATTCGAATAGTAACTTCAGCATTCGAATAGTATTGATTTTTTTAATATTTTAGAATTATATTCGAATTTCGGAATTCGTTCCAACAGCCCTAGCGCCTATAGAGTGAACACGTGATACACGTGCACACGACGTCACCGTTTTCCCAAATTCACAGGTTTTTAGTTTACACGAAGATGATAACGGTATGTTTTTCAAAAACTTGCGCATTGAAACCCACTTTCAAAAGTTAGCTTAAAAAAGTAAAATTGCTGAGTATTTCCTCCTTAAAACTGCAGTGAACCAAAGACAGTCTCAAAAACACGGTTTGAAATCGCTGGTGTTTCTGACGTCACAAACGACCTTGTAACCAATCAGATCAACGTGTGATCGTCAACCAGTGGATCTCTGAGCTGAGTGAGTGAGTGGAGGCGGGGCTCATTTGCATATTCATAGAACCACGCATACTAAATGAGGCAAGGGTGTCGAGTTACATTCAAGCTATTTTAAGGCATGAAGACATTTTTTTCAAGGAAAAAACGTTTAAATATGTCATTTTGGTGATCAAAGATGATCTCTACACATGCACTGCTTGATTAACAGCAGATTTTTCTGACAGGTTATTATGAGTATGTATCCACGTACAACAACAGCATGTCTCATCCGCCCACACGCTCACACACGCATTACAGACACACACACACACACACGCAATCTCGCACATACACACACGCGCAAGAAGCGTGGACATCATTGCTGTTGCCACGGCAGCAGCAGAGATAGTCGATTGCGTCCAAACAAAAACGATTACCCTGTTTCTATGGAAACAGCTCTTTATCCCCCCACCCCCCGCACCCCCCGCTGTCTGGATGGGACGTTATGCGAGGAAGAGGTTAAAGGCAGTTTGTAAATGGTTCTGTACGCAAACATAACTATGACTGCAATACCAGTGTATGCGTTACACAATGATCCAGCAACTGTCTCTGGTTGTTTAATGGCTGTTGTGCTTGAAATAGAAGCAAGTTGTGGTGAAATTGATCAGTAATTCTGTAAATTGTTGTGAGTCTAATGCAGTTTAAACATATATTTAACGTGTAGCTACACTTAATAATTACAAAGAAGCGATAAGTAACATAATGAATTAAACTTTGAAGTAGAAAGACTTATAAAGAGTATTTTCTCATAAAACATACTCTAATAATATTGGTTTTAGTTGCAACTTCAAAAAGTATATTTTTTACAGTGTATGTAGGAGTCAGACAGGATTTAATAAATCTGGTTCTTATTCCAAAACCAATTCCTAATTAAAACGAATTAGTTGTGCCATTTATTCAAACGTGTCTCTTTTTAGAAAAATGTCCTTTTTAAAATGGAGTTTTGTCCATGTTGAACCGGGGTTTGTGAGTCTATGAAAAGCTAATTAATTAAATTATAAAAAGGTAAAAATTTTATAAAAATAATTTTAAATAACTGCTACTTTTTTTTTTTTTTATCAAATCAAAACAAGAAGCTTTTTTTTTAAAAAAAAATTAAGGGCTAACAGCTTGAGCCAGCGCAAACCATCTTTTGCAAAGGTTATTTTTTATGTAAATACGAATTAATTAAAAATCTTGGGTTATTAATTAAATATTTTAGCTCAAATGGGTTGACAAAAAAACATAATCAGAAAATCCCTGCTCTAATAGAACTGCATGTCATTGAAATCATTTGTTTTGTTTTCTGATTAAAATCATTTTTAAACCTCTAGTTTTGTTGATGAGCGCTCAGGTTATCAAGAGCCATGGATTCAATATGGCTTATTCATGTGTTCAGGTGGTTGCTAGGATGTTCTTAGTGGTTGCTAAGGTGTTCCTAGGTGGATGCTAAGGTGTTCTGGGTTGTTGCTAAGGTGTTCCTAGGCGGTTGCTAAGGTGTTCCTAGGCTAAGGTGTTCCTAGGCGGTTGCTAAGGTGTTCTGGGTTGTTGCTAAGGTGTTCCTAGGCTAAGGTGTTCCTAGGTGGTTGCTAAGGTGTTCTGGGTTGTTGCTAAGGTGTTCCGGGTTGTTGCTAAGGTGTTCCTAGGCGGTTGCTAAGGTGTTCTGGGTTGTTGCTAAGGTGTTCCTAGGCGGTTGGTAAGGTGTTCTGGGTTGTTGCTAAGGTGTTCCTAGGCAGTTGCTAAGGTGTTATGGGTTGTTGCTAAGGTGTTCCTAGGTGGTTGCTAAGGTGCTCTGGGTCGTTGCTAAGGTGTTCCTAGGCGGTTGCTAAGGTGTTCTGGGTTGTTGCTAAGGTGTTCCTAGGCGGTTGCTAAGGTGTTCTGGGTTGTTGCTAAGGTGTTCCTAGGCTTAGGTGTTCCTAGGCGGTTGCTAAGGTGTTCTGGGTTGTTGAATTTGAATTGCCATGTATTCAATTTCAGAGGATGCATTGAATGCAGTGTGGTTGTGTGTTTTTGGATGACTAATGACACAGCAGTGAAATCATGGAGCCTCTCCAGAGGACGCAGGACATTGCATCTGAAAGGTAGAAGAGAAGCGAGAGATCTTTCTGTAGTCTCCAGCTCATCCGCCCACCGTCAGGCTGTTAAAGCAAAGCATCCCTGCCATGCGTTCATTCGGACAATGTTTTGTAAAGAATGTGTAGGCTCACTTTTCACTATGTTGCTCTGTAAACGACAAACAGGGATTCAGCGTTGCGATGTTTTTATACAAAAGCAAGTGGCATGCCGTTCGTTTGAAACTCTGCCAGGCTTCTATGAATAGATTTACTACACATGGTGAAAACGAACAATGAAGATGCCATGTCCATAAATAGACATCTGGCAAATCACCACGTTGAAGCTTACTTGAACTGTTCATGACTCTCAAAAGGACATTGTGAACTAGCATTTACAACACAACCCTCTCTGCCTTTCCTTAAACTGTTCATATTAGTCCTGAGCAACGATTAATCGCATCCAAAATAAAAGTGTTTACATAATATACAGTATGTGTGTGTACTGTGTATAATTATTTTGTATACATAAAAATACATATGCATGTATATATTTAAGAAATATTTGCATGTATATAATGTGCATTTATAAATAAATATTAATACTTTATATATAAATAACACATTTTTCTTAAATATATACATGCATATGTGTGTATTTACATATACAAAATAATTATAAACAGTACACACGCATATATTATGTAAACACACTTTTATTTTGGATGCGATTAATCACGATTAATCGTTGCCCAGCACTAATGGACATGGCTGAATTTGACACAGATTCGTGTATAAAGACAATCGTCGCCCTTTCGGTTTTCATTATGCAAATGAAGCGGGATTATGAGTGACAGCGATGCCCTAGTGCCGCATAAACAGCTCTGTCACTAAATAAGGTTGAAGGCGTAAACGTTTGGTTAGTGTGCTTTTAGTTTTGCCAGCAATGTTTAAAGCGGATGTCATCAAAATGCATTCTGCAATACCACAGGTTTTCCAAGAGGAGTACAAGACCATAAAGAAATTGAGTTAATTTCATAAAATAGGAGTACACTTTGCAGCCATTGGACAAATCAGAGAATGGTGAATACAATTGATATTTAGAATAATATAAATAATTCTAGTGGGTTATGCATGAAGTGATAAAATGAATGCAATGCCGGTTACTAAGGCTCTGCCAAATGCATAAAAGTACACTACTGGTCAGAAGTTTGGAATAAGTCGTTCAGTGATGTTGTGAAATATTACAATTAAAAATAAATGTGAATATACAGTAAAGTGTAATTTATTCCTGTGATCAAAGCTGGATTTTCAGCATCATTACTCCAGTCTTCAGTGTCACATGATCCTTCAGAAATCACTCTAATATGAGGATTTGGCATTATCAATTATTACTAGTGCTCAAATATTAATAATGGTTCTTGTTATTAACATCAATGTTTTGCTGCTTAATATTTTTTTGTTTTCATGATACTTTGATGAATAGAGACTTCAAAGCATTAGTTTGAAATAGAAATATTTTGTAACAAATGTCTTTTTGATCAATTTAAAAGTATTATTTTTTTCTTTTTTTATCTTACCCCAAACCTTTACTTTGAGTTACAACACTCATAATAATCATAAATGTTTCTCGAGCATCAGATCATCATATTAGAGTGATTTCTGAAGGATCATGTGACACTGAAGACTGGAGTAATGATGCTGAAAATTCAGCTTTGATCACATGAATAAATTACACTTTAAATATATATTAAATTAAAAACCAGTTACCGGTAATTTAAATTGTAATAATATTTCACTATTTTCTCTGCATTTTTGATCAATGCAGCCTCTGTGTGAGCAAAAGAGACCGGTAGTGTACAGTCAAACCAAAAATTATTCAGACACTAGATATCATTTTTTATATTTATTTCCTAGTGTGTGCAGGACACTATAGTTCATTTATGTAAGTGAGGACGGCAAAATAAAGTAAACTTTGACATATTACACCCAATAATTCTCCATACAGTGACTACCAGTAAAATTAATACAAATTTCGGACCAAAAATTATGATCATGTTTTGCTGAAGTGTGTTTTCTGTAATTGCTAATGCTCTTTTTACACACACACTGAACAACATGAAGCATTGCTTGGTAATCGTTTGAGCTAAACTGGTATTATCTAATTCTGTAGTTAAATTTAACAGCTGACAGATATTCAACATAATTCATGTGTGAGAGTCTAACAGAAGGACGGACAAAACCAGTGAAATATCCACTGATTTAATAACCAAGTCATATTTCATTACCATTTTAGCGAATAAACTGTGATGTGTGAGAAATGTTGAAGGAGTCTGAATATATTTAGGTTTGACTGTAAATGTAATTTGGCCGCTTTGACTGTAAAAGTGGTTAAAGTTTTAAAGACTGGTTAATTAACTTCACCTGCTCTCCATCTTCAAGGTAACTGAGCTGAACGAGGCCCTTTCCAACGAGGAGAGGAACCTGCTGTCCGTGGCCTACAAGAACGTGGTCGGCGCTCGGCGTTCGTCCTGGCGCGTGATCTCCAGCATCGAGCAGAAGACCTCGGCGGATGGCAACGAGAAAAAGATCGAGATGGTTCGCGCCTACCGTGAGAAGATCGAGAAGGAGCTGGAGACCGTGTGCCAAGACGTGCTCAACCTCCTCGATAACTTCCTGATCAAGAACTGCGGAGACGTCCAGCACGAGAGCAAAGTGTTTTACCTGAAGATGAAGGGCGATTACTACCGTTATCTGGCGGAGGTGGCCACCGGCGAGAAGAAAGCAGGAGTGGTCGAGTCTTCCGAGAAGTCCTACAGCGAAGCCCATGAGATCAGCAAAGAGCACATGCAGCCCACACACCCCATTCGCCTGGGTTTGGCGCTCAATTACTCTGTGTTCTACTACGAGATCCAGAACGCGCCCGAGCAAGCCTGCCATCTCGCCAAAACGGCTTTCGACGACGCCATCGCCGAGTTAGACACCCTGAACGAGGACTCCTACAAAGACTCGACCCTCATCATGCAACTCCTGCGAGACAACCTGACGCTCTGGACGAGCGATCAACAAGACGACGAGGCAGGCGAAGCCAACAATTAAACACTGAAGAAAAGAGAAGATCTTTTGAGACCCTTTTCCTCTCGGCCGTAATGTACAACACGCGAGCTCACACTATAAAGAAAAACAAACAAAACAAAAAAAATCACAAAATGGAGGCATTATGGAAACGTGTCGGCCACGTAGTCGCAGCAGGTTTCTTTATTTCCCGCTGAATTACGATTTAGAGAAATATGCTAGTTAAAAAGATTGGTATGCCTCAAAAAACGTAAAAACAAATAAAATAATAATAAGACGTAGTTTAAAAGGGGATTCTTCTGTGGCGTTTACCTGAACAACAGCGTGTCGGTGCGTCAAGTCTGAAGAGTTACGATAAACCCAAACACTGGATAGTGGCTGTTATTGTAGTGAAATACGAAGCGGAGCTGCTTATATTTATTTACATTGTGAGGAAGAACTACTTCAAAGCATCAAGAATGGGCTTAAGGAAAAAGAAAAAAGTGAAAACTTGAATGTTATCGCCTCGCAAAAGTAGGGATTTGCAAACGGGCGGCACTGGGCGTGTTTTTATCTCTCATATAGGCTACTTTTATTGGGATTCTGAATTGCACCCACTAATGTTTTAAAGTCGTTTACGTTGGACTGGTTATCTGTGCCATTTATGATACACGTCGTTAGTAGGCTATGCATCTCACATCTGAACTACTGTAAAAAAAAAAAAAAAAAAAAAAAAAAAATAACAGTTCTGATTGATTTTCCCAGTTACTTAAATTGCCTTCTCAATCCAAAGCTAAAACCGGTTTAATAACCATGATTGAAATCGTTATTATAATCATTATTTCGTGGATATCAAAAACGGCCAGGCCTGACGGTCACTATCCGAGAATAATAACGTTTAATTTGAATGCACTGAAGAGTAGTAGCTTATTATTGATTAAAATAATCAAATGAAAAATAACATAATCCCAATGCTTTGCAGAAAAACGTTATTATAAAAATCGTTATTATAATCATTATTTCGTGGATATAAAAAACGGCCAGGCCTGACGGTCACTATCCGAGAATAATAACGTTTAATTTTAATGCACTGAAGAGTAGTAGGCTACCTTATTATTGATTAAAATAATCAAATGAAAAATAACATAATCCCAATGCTTTGCAGAAAAACGCCCTTTTGAAAGCAATGCTAATCACTAATCTCTCAGTTTAATCACTGGTACCATAGACTGTTGTTTTTTGTTATTCTGTTCATTTATTTTGGCAAAAGAGTTTTAATTCTCATGAAATGCACTTGCCTATTATACTGTTTCTGACGATTACAGCTCCAATATTCTCGATAATACAATATTGTGCATGCTGGTGATGTATTTATATACCATAGCTCGACTTTATTAACTTTAAAAATTGTAGATGTTATGTATTCATATGAACAAGAAATGACAAGAATTTAATCTGATTATTTTCTATTTATTACTTTATATTGGATTGTTTCAATATGTTATGATTTCTTTCTTATATATTTTTTTCCTCGCTGAAGTACGCTATACCAAAACAGTGCGTGTTAACCATAAATTAATCTGTTATGGATGTTGCTATAGTGACATGCAATTCTTGTATTTGGGTTTTAATAAAGGAAGTGAAAAGACAAAAAAAAAAGTAACCACGATATCCGCCATTTTGTCACAGTAAATTATGATTACATTGTGAAAGGATTAATGTTGAATGAGTTTTCTTTCTGTGCTTTCTTCTGTGAGATATTTAAGATTTGCTGTTATATCAGTGTGTTTTTGTTTTCAGGATCTTTCTGTATGGATTCACTCATTGAACATTGCCTATTCTTATGATTTCTGTTTTCTTTCTTTTTTTCCCCTCGTCTACTGGTATCTTAAATGTGAGTCATGTAGCGGTTGCACAAAAGAAGCATAATGATTATCTAAAAAAATAAAAACATGACTGTGCTCTTCTAGCCACCGTTTCATGCGAGTCATTTCCTGTTCACATCATCAGAGGAAACATGATGTTGTATATTATTACGGTAATAAATGCATGATGGCACAGTGGTTATGTAGTGGTCAGATGATCGTGAACACTGTTTGAGCTTGTGTTCCCCTCCCGTTCTGTGCCGTCCTGTGCCGTCTCCTCTCTCTGATAATCCAGCATCTGACACACACAGTTAGTGCCAACAGTTGTGCTTTAGTTTACAGTTTATTCGGGTGAAGCTGGTTTTCTTCACGCTCATCTTCTCCAAAGGTCTACTCGATTAAACGAGTGATATAATCAGTAATATTCACTATGTATGCTGATCAAAACTTTTAGTCTCTTAGGAAATTTTTAGTCTCTTATGCTCACGAGTGCTGCATTTATTTAATTAAAATACAGTAATATTGTGAGATATTTTTGCAATTTAAAATAACTTTTCTATTTTAATATATATAATAAAACTTTTTTGTTTTATATTAATACATGCTTATTTTAACCTAATTTATTCCTGTGATGGCAAAGCCGAATTGTCAGCATCATTACTCTGTACTCTTGAAAATCCAGCTTTTAATGTTGTTTATATGTCTATGTGGTGTTTTTAATACGCTTTAAGACACACCATGTGTAAGTTCATAAGTCGACAGCATTGCTGAGTATTTTCTGCTTAAAACTGCAGTGAACCAAAGACAGTCTCAAAAACACGGTTTGAAATCGCTGGTGTTTCTGACGTCACAAACGACCTTGTAACCAATCAGATCAACGTGTGATCGTCAACCAGTGGATCTCTGAGCTGAGTGAGTGAGTGGAGGCGGGGCTCATTTGCATATTCATAGAACCACGCATACTAAATGAGGCAAGGGTGTCGAGTTACATTCAAGATATTTTAAGGCATGACGGAATTTTTTAACAAAGAAAAAAACGTTTAAATATGTCATTTTGGTGATCAAAGATGAGTTTTAAGGGATAAAATGATTGACTACAGGGGGACTTTAAGTGTTGCATGATCCTTTGGAGCCCATAAGTTACATGGTGATCGAAAAAATATGAGATGGGAGGAAAAATGTCAATGCTTTTGCGTTCTGCCGAGAAACTTTGTTCACTCACGGTTTGCATTCCCCAAAGAAATTTGCAAAAGTTTAACATTCCCCAGAGACAATTGCATTCTCTTGTTCTGCATTCTTTGAGAGTTAGCAGAAAGTGTCTCAGGGGAACATTACACATTTGCGTGAGGCCCTAAAAGCTTTGAAATATATTTTTTTCCTCCCATTTCATATTTTTCCCATCACCTTTATGGGCTCTGTATAATCATTCTAATATGCCGATTTGCTGCTTAATTCTGATTGACATTGCAGATTAATTTTTTTGTGGAAACCATATACCATTTAAAAGTTTTGGGGTAAGTATTGACAAATAAACACGAAAATATTTTTAATTAAGGTGGCATTAAAGGGGTCATATAATGCCATTTTTGTACAAGCTAATATGATTCATTAGGGTCTAAATTAAAAGTTTGTAATATACTTTAATTAAAAATTCTCATTAGTATTGTAAGAAAACACTTATTTTACCTGGTCAAAAACAGCTCTGTTTTCAGCACGCCGTTTCAGTGCATATGACTTTAAAAGATAATGAGTTTTGCTCACCCCGCCTCTCTGTTCTGTGCGTACACCGTTTGTAACACAATAATAACAATAACCATAACGCGTTGTAAACGTGGGATTATGAATTATATTGAGAACGTCGTATAGAAAACATGCTGTAATGGACCCTGAGTGTAAACCTTAGACGCATTCATTGTGAAGCGTGCAGCTAGCGATTTGCAAAGATTAATATATTAATATAAAGATTAATAAAACGTTAAACTCACTTCAGTTGTTCTAGAGGTTCAGCAGGAACATGAATATCTGGTACCGATCCTTTTTTCAGGAGCAGCTTCTTAGCAAATCCAGCTTTATACTGACCCTCGTTTATAAAGCAGTCTGGTGAGAAATGATTCGCGCAAACATGAGAGCATTGACGTTGCTCGTGGGGAATATTCCCTTCGAAAACAAACTCAGCCACTGCGTCTTCAGCGGTTCGGATTCAGGAACATTAAAATGACTGTGTTCGTTATTACACCCAAGAACAGAACACCACAATCGCTTAGACGCCATTCTGCTCATAGACAGTGCTCCAGCATATCAACAATGACCGCGCCGCTCCGCGCAGACTATGATTGACAGCTCTCATGAGCGAGGGCGGGTCTGTGTTGAAACGATGCTGTCAATCAACAATCGTGGGAGGGGCTTCCGAGCGTGTGACATCACACGCTCGAACGGCTCAATTTGAGGCAGGGGAAAACATAGAACGAGATTTAAAAAAAAACACTGGATGGATTTTTATTATTTTAGGATGGTTGTGTACAGGCACTGCCAACACACATTTCAGTACAATCAACTTGTAAAAGTGCAAGTACCATTATATGACCCCTTTAAATTTAAATAGTGGCTTTCATGTTACAAACGTTTTCTATTTCAAATCAATTCTGTTCTTTTGAACATTCTATTCAATTGAGAATCCTAAATGAATATTATATAATATAATTTATAATTATAATAATTATAAATGTTTCTCGAGCATCAGATCATCATATTAGAGTGATTTCTGAAGGATCATGTGACACTGAAGACTGGAGTAATGATGCTGAAAATTCAGCTTTGATCACAGGGATAAATTACACTTTATTACACTGTATTTTTAATCACATAAATGCAGCCTTGGCAAGCATAAAATATTTTATATATAAAAGTTTTAAAAAAATTATATATATATATAATTTTTTTTAAACTTTTGACCGGTAGGCCAGTGATACATATAGCTGATGTAATACTAATTTAACAATTTCTTTGTGCTTTAAAATTAAATACTTGCCAAATGGCACTGATGTTCATCAATAAAAATCATAAATAAAAAAAATTAAAAAAAATACATCATGGCTCGATACTGCAACAAAATACAGTGAAGGTGTTTGATCCCATTCACTTCCAGGAAACCGAAAACAATGAAAGTCAATGGGGTCCAACCCTGTTTGGTTACCGACATTCTTCAAAATATCTGTTCAGCAGAAAAAAGAAATCAAACAGGTTTGAAACGACTTGAAGGAGAATAGCCTAAATGATGACAGAATTTTAATTTTTAAGTATCCTTTAAGTTGAATGTTACTTAAAGGGGTGGTTCAGGATTTTGGACATCGGACCTCATTTCCAAGTTAGCCTGGGTGTTATCAGAGCCCGTCAGTGAGACAGTTTTGATTTACATCGATAGTCTGGCGTTA